TCCTCATTTCAAAACATGGCTTCCTGCTACACATGAAAAGATACTACTTTTAGTGTATATAATTCATTTTCTTTGTGGGAGCTGGGGTACAGAGCAAGAAGAATCTGAAAATATCAGTTCTGATTCTCTCATACTTGAAAATGTGGTGAACTTTTACCCATTTTATCCAGTTTCCTTGTGTGTCTTGATAATGAATGAGAGCAGATGATCTTGAAGATGTTCTTCCATTTCACAAAACTCAGGGATTCATCTACAAATGAAGCAAAGGCCTCAATGTACCAAAGTTAATCTTGGGCTATGCTCCAGCCTTCAGTTAGTCCCATTTGTGCCTTAGTCTAATCTTCCTTCTTATCCCTAATGTAGCAGCCTGGCCAAGTAGAGAGAGAAGACAGTTTTACATAGTATAAAGAGTTCAAAAATGCCTCACAAATGCTATTTGCATAGAACAGTGCTGATTAACAAATTACACACCAAGAACACCCATCTCTCTTCATCAATATGCCTTCTTGAACCAAGGTTTGTTCACAGGGCATGAAGTTTTCTATGCTGCACTTTACAGAGAGTGTATATAAATATATATACTTCTGAACAATCTTTAAATGAGATTACAAAGTCATGTTTTCATTGCTGTGTGCAATTGATTAAATTTTTGACTCATAGTGACCTCTTGTGAATAGTTTCCTGGACTGTAATATTTACTGGAGCTGGTGACTGTGTTTGTCTCCCAGGGAGCTGCTAGTGGATTCAAACCTCCAAATTCAGAAAATTGAAAATGTCTAAAATTAAATGAACACTTACAGATAAATATCCTAGGCCCCAGTGAGCTGAAATGGACTGATATTGGCTATTTAGAATCAGACGATTGTATTGTCTCCTATGCCAGGAATGAAAAAGGGATTCAGTATTATATTCATTGTCAAAAAGAACATTTCAAATCTATCTTAAAGTACAAATGCTTTTGATAATAAAATAATATTCATGGGCTAACAAGGCAGACAAATTAATATGAATACTTTGTACAGTTAACACACCAAGAATGAATACCAAGATA